TATATATATATATTTAAAATAAACTTCATTTTCTACCTGCCATCAATGGCACTGTTAGTATAAGAAGCGACTGTAAGACATCATCGCATGAATCAGCATGATGCTACTCACCAACTTACACGCCTTTCAGGGTCTGGGAATATTAAATGCGGTATACTACTCAGCCTCACCACCATAGAATAAGTGGTAGAGGGGCTGAGAACAACCGTTCATTCACCTTTTTTTTTTTTTCTTTGTCAATCAAATTAACACCTAATACTTTAATTATGTAATAATAATCAAATTGTATATGTAATACGTACGTCCTTTTCGCTTTCAGTACTTACAGTAACGCGCATGTGAGAGTGACAAGTACAACACGACATATGAGCGGACAATACTCGCAACAATATTGTACAATGGATCAGATTGACTTTGCTTTTTCCAGAGACTCTGGAAATAGAACTGTGGTTACGTTGGTATTAGTGGATCTGAATATCATAACTTTCGTGCGCATTCGTCGTTTTAATATTTTCATTTGGGTTTGAACTCAGCGAAGTTAGCCATAACGTGGTTTATCTTCCATGATAGAAATCACTAAGGGTATTTGTTAACTGTGATAGATATATATATATGTTACCAATAATATCAAAATATTCAATAATTTAATTACTCATCTAATTGTGATTATAAATTTAAATAAATTAAAATTACTTATTACTCTATCCAAAGTACAATCGACTAGTTCATTGTTAGCAACTACTGTTAAGATTTTTAGAAAAAGATCTTCATAGATATATAATACTTATATAATAAATATATATATATAGATTTTTGTTTAAATATACATTATTATTTTACGTAAAATAAACTTAATGCTGTATTCCTTCATTTACTAATTACAAATAAGAAAATTTGATGTTAACAGATTAAAAATTAAGTATTACAACAATATGTTTCACGTAACAAACACCCTTATGACCAATTCGCACGATATGACAATGAAATGCGCGAAGCAGTGGATGTTGCATCATACAAGTACATAAGAGTATATGTTAAAACTTCTTAAAATTCATTATATATTTAACGAGTGCATAATTATTCATTTGCACTTGGGAATCATCAAAAGTACATGTGATCTAGCTATTTGATTTTTTCTTTTTCTAATTCTCTAGTTTCTTTTATATTTTATAATTATTCTGACTATCATATATATATATAGCAGTTATCGTGCTAATATAATAATAATAATAATAATAATAATAATAATAATAATAATAATAATAATAATAATAATAATAATAAAATAATAATAATAATAACAATAATAATAATAATAGTAGTAGTAACAATAACAATATAATAATAAGAGTAACAATAATAATAATGATAATAACAATAACAATAATAATAATAATAATAATAATAACAATATATATATATTGTATGAGCTGTAAAATTATTTTAAAAATACACTATCCTGTCCTAAAAATCACTCGGTGGTACAATAATAATAATATAAAATTTGTGATTCTCAAAAATGAAAATCTTCAGGTACAGAAATATGAAAGGACCACTGTACTTGTACGCTTATAAATTACGACAAAAAGAGAGAGAGAGAGAGAGAGAGAGAGAGAGAGATTATAAGTTTACTTATAATGTAAATTGTCCTCAACGACTTAAATAAAAGAAGCACACCACATTGGCAAGAGAGAAACCATAATAATAAATAGAATAAAAGAAAACAACAAATTAAAGTACAAATGATATAGATACACATATATTATTATTAGTTGTTGTTGTTTTTTTTTTTTTTTTTAATAACAATAAGGCTGTACACGTTAATATAGTATTGTTGATAGGAGATTGTATCAAAAACGTATAACATTGTAATATCATATAATTAAGAAAAAATGAAATAACTTTACATTCATTAATAACGACTGTATCCAACTGCGAATATACTTGTATTTGATTTAAGGATGCCAGTGGTGTGCTAAATTTGTTTCTTTTTTTTTTCTTTATTTATTTATTTTTTTTTTTTTTAAATTAGATTATTTCACATTATACTCACCGTTGAAGATAATATTTCATGAGGACAGCAAGCCAGAAGAAAACTCTTGCAGACCTTCGGATCCGAGTATTTCACTTGAAATTTGTTATTTTCGCCTATACAAAAAAAAAAAAAAACACAGAATAATATAAAATTAAAAAAGAATTATATTTAAGTATATTTTCCAAGTATTCTATGCGTATTGTGTGTATATACATATATATATAATATGTGTGTGTGAGTATGTGTGTTGATAAACGATCAATATGGCTCCGTGTCTCCCATCTTGCGTCGACAATTAAGTTTCATCATGTGTTCACACTTAAGGTTTTTTTCTTTAGAAATGAAATATTAATTATAATAATTGAAGGAATAATTGATTAATTAATACCCACCATTTCTACCTGTACCCATTAATTGATCGAGCATTGCTCGCATCTGGTCGTGAGCCGTCATTTTTATAACTCAAAAATACAACCTTCAAGTTCGCATAACGAATGAACTAACGAACAGAGAACATAGCCACGCCACCGAGTTCGACTTTCGAGATATCATCAAAATATATCGATCCTACAGACACGAAGTATAAACATTAATAGAGATTACAAACTCAAGTTGAAAATTATTTGATCGAAATAACTTCTTTAACTATTAATTTGAAATTGATTAAAGTTGTCACGAAACATTAATTATTCAATTTTTAATTTACCTGTATATACAGATATGAATTTATTTCGAATATAAAAATAAATAATTACGGAGGCTAAAAATATAAAAGTACATAGAAGCTCGCAAGTCAATATTTCGTGTAACCAAAATAAGCTTAGTTACAGCCGCGATCACCAGAGGGAGAATCGCCAAAAAAAAATACTACATTCTATAATGCATATATTTATTGGTATTGTATCACTACCGCGTTATGTGGGGAACTAGAACAGTGGAAAAAGGCTATCTGGAGAGTTTATATTCACTTTCGGATTGAACCGATGAGAAAACATAAAATTTGTTATTTTTAATAGCAAGTACATACTTGGACGCCACATATAAAGCTGATATCTTTCGAATGTTACATTATACTAGAACTTAACTAGTGTGGTTCCCGTATAGGGAGAAAAGAATCTACTGTATCACGTCGGTACGCTAGGCGCGTATCGCTACAATTAAATTGTAATACAGCGTTATCTATTGAGTATTTACTGAACCTAGAGACCTAGTTAACCGCTAAATGATAAATTCTTCAAATACCAATAGAAAATAAAAAATAATCGCAATAAAAACTATCCTATATTTAAAGGTAGAAAAAATCACACGAAATAAATAAAAAAACATGTGTACATATCACACAAGTTAGAAGTAAAACCTTCAAATAAAAAGTTTCGAGGATATAACTTATTATATAATATTATTGTAATATTATTTGTACTTTTAATTTGTAATTATATATTTAAATATTAATTTAATTATAAAAATGCACGCCTGTTCGTATGCAACCCTCCAGACACACTTTGAAAATGTTGCTTGTGAGCGCTATCTACTGGAACGGAAATTTTTTGCCGTCAGGACTGTTTATACACGTATATATGAGGGGTTGCCTGTCTTTCAGGCAGAAAAAAATGCGTCTACATATAAGGCATAGTACAATTCAAATAACGTACACACTAGTTATTAAATTCAGATAAAAAGTTGATTAAAATATTTTTAATTTTCTAACATCATTTTTTGATCACTTATAATAAGATATTTATTATCGATAGTTGTGTGTCTATCAAATACATGGGCAGTGATAACTCTTTATTACTTTAATTAAAACATTTATATTATTTTTATTCAATTGTACATGTAAAAATTTTCTGTTAAATATATAAACATATTATATACACGGAACAATACTATTATATAAAGAAATAATTAACGTTTCCTATCCAATGATAATTAAGAAAAAATCGTTTTATTGCTGTATTTAACAGATTGTCAGAAATAAAATATGTAAGTGAAAAGAGAATATAATATAGAATATAAAATCCAAAGAATCAAAGCATAAATAAGCCACTTCAACGTATAATGAGCTATTTTTAACCTGAAAATGATAAACAATAAAAAGAATAATTAATTTTAAATAGAATAAAAATAATATTTGTTATAAAAAAAAGAAAATAAAACATTTACCTATTATAATAAGGTCTTGATTCTTCCACCGTATCCATCGGGTCTTTAAACAAAAATACTCGAATACCCCTTACAWAAGTAAMACCATAMCATTCCCAATCAATATCAGCAGCATTAAAGAAGAAGTTACTTTTATCGACCACAGATAATTTGTCCCATAACTTCAATACATTATCGTTTGTAAATTTCCATTCGTTCATTGTAAAGAAAGTCAATACMTGTTTAAACTTTTCTATTTKTCTGTAGATATTAAGCAATCTGAAAAAATATACCATTAATTTAATTAAGTTTCTTCTTATCGACGAATAATAAATCGMTTGTTAATCGAAATATCATTATAAATTACATCGGCTTTCTTCCGCTGAGATATAATAAGGAGTCCRCTATAGCTCCTGGTATCCAGTGYAAAAAAATTGTACAAAAAATATAAAAATAATAGTTCTTGATAARCCATAAGYTGCTGTAGYACCAAAACACTTTTTTCGACGGGATTGTAAGTCCCTTAGATCCTAAAGAATTCTCCATACCACCCCAAGTAACTGGACTTTGAACGGAGGAAACGGCATTATAAATTCGATTTTCTTCGTCAACAGGTAAGTATTTGTTATCATTGCTAAAAAAATTAACACTTCGTGATATTGAACTACGATAAAAGTTGTTTCTTTTATTTACTGTAAATTTTATTTTTAAAGTTGAACAAAAAGTTGATTTAAGTGGTAATTMAAAAAARAAGAACCAAATTACCGYTTTTGTGCAACGTCCCATGCTGCACAAATAATGTTGTTGACAACAWAATCGGCAGGAATTAAGTCGCAGATTAAGCTGCYATCACAATACAGYGTTCGTAAAACACCTKYCGAGCTACCAWAAAAAACACCTGTAAATCCATAGAAATTGTTTATCCAACCAGCRATTGGTTCCTTTTSCGTTGAAAYAACAATGGATGGTCGAACTATGCAAGTGGGAATTCCATTTGAATATTGCCGTATCGTATCTTCACAGATTGCCTTCGAAAATGCGTAAGTGTTGGGCCACTTACCCAGTAGGCTGTAAAACAAATGAATATACTTATCGACTTTTCTCTAAAAGAATGCAATAGGATTCATGTTTTATTACTTTGGAGTAATTAAATCTAATTGATCTTCGGTCAAAATTTCAGTTAATCTAATTATGTCATCTGTCTTCATAGGTGGCTTATAGAATTTTTCTTCGATTTTATTGTATACACAGTGCGAAAAAGCMGTAGAAATATAAACAAAGGCCTAAAGAACAAAATTATTATAAAATTAGGACATTTTATGTTGTTTTTAATTAATCTAATGTCTATGTATATAAATTAATWGATCTAGTGAGTAATTATACTTAAACATACGCATTTCTATACGGATGGTGTAACTAGAAAAAAAAAGTACCTTTAAGCTTGTCATCTCCTGTGCAAGCAAGAGAAGATCCCTTGTTCCTCTAATATTTGTATTAACTATAGAACGAATATTGTCTGTAAAACGTACGGATGCAGCACTGTGAATAATTAAATCGGTATCTTTAATGAGTTCGCGGTCTCTCTCTGACAATCCTAAATTCAATCGACTCGTGTCTCCTTCAATCAAAATAATTTTYTTCTCGATATCTTTTTGCTCTCTCTTTAATCTATCAAAAATCTAAACATTTAAATATAAACTGTAATATTGGTTACATCTTTTATTCCCATAATAATATGTACAAAATGTGTAACTTTACTCACAAYATCATTGAAATACTCTTTGAATCGAGTTTGCGGATCCTTCTGTTTCTTTGCCCTTATCAGCAAATAAATCGTTGTTATTTCTGGACAACATCTGCMAACCGCAGCAATGGCAATTATAGTACAATTTTTTATCGGAAAAATAATTTTTATAAAATAAAACATTATTGTCTAAGCTTACATATTGGAGTAAAGGTAGAAGTAGAAAAAGACAAATATAAAGAAWAATTATCGTTATTTTTAAAGACAGGTATTATTAGATATATAATGTCTTCTGAATTTAATATTTTTAYTAGCAAGTATTTTTGTCAAAAAAAAATTATTTATCTATTTGTATGACCAAATCTCTATGCTATATTTTCTATCTAGTAAACTTACATTCCTTTGGTAAAAAAGTTAAAATAATTTATTGATTTTAAACTCGACGATTATTTTTGTTATTTCTTTTAAACCATATGAATCTTATGGTGAATAAAACTGCTAACAAGAACTATCCGATTGTACGTACTATCCAAATTTATTTAAAATTGATGATTGAAAGCTTATAACGAATGTACAAATCTGATYGATAACAAAAACATATATRAAAYACTTTTACCTCAAGAGTTTTTCGATTATAAGCCTTCCTAGAAATCCTAAGCCTCCTGTTATKAAAATTTTTTTTCCAGAATAAAATGCAGCAATTTCACCTCGTTGATTATAATAATTTGGCTCTTCTATCATTGAAAACATTTCCTCTTGATACGTTTGGCCRYTTAATGATTYCATTTTTTCTATTCTTTTATAATAAAAATGAATATAACATACAAATAATGTGAAAAATCTTACTTTTTAATAATTATCTACGACAGACATATCTTAAAAATAAGTGAATATTTATAAGTTATTGAAATATATACTTTCGATACTAATTATAGTTATAAGATGTTTTTTTTCGTATTATTAATTTTCGTATTCAATTCTAATTTATTAAAAAATAATATATTATTGTAAAAAATATAAATGAAGTAATTATTATATTTACTCTCTTAAAAAATTTCTATTATGTAGAATTGAAAACTTTTAAAAATGATGCGTAATATAGCAATTAATATTTGCARTAATTGAAGCCACTTTAATAATCTTTGGCTTATATAATATCTCATTCAATGAAAGCTCCTAATAATTTGTCAGTAAGCCATATTAATTTTATACACAAAATAAATTAAACTTATAAATTTAATTCCTTGATCTTAAATAAGTAAATCACAAATTATACTTTATTATATAATTTAGCCATTTGTGATCTTCACATTTGGAAAAGGTATGGAATGTCAAAAAAATATAAAACTTACCTCTTTATCTCAACAACTTTTACCACAAAGATTATAATAAAATATGATAAGATATTATAATAAAAAAAAAATCTTTTAACTAAGTATGTTTATGAGTTATTAACAAAGATTATAACAAACTAAATATCAAAAATGTTCTCTCGATAACTAAGTACTATGAATTAAGTAACCTAATTCTTCTGTGCTTTTCGAACGATTGCCGAATTTTATTTACAATGTTGCTTGATTTACGCATATATATAGCTCAAACCCTGCGATGTATTGAATTCATACTTCGAATATTCATAAATTTGAACCGAAAAGGACATTGTAATGGTGACTTTGTTCTTTTTGAATACCATGTATTATTTAATTTATTTATATTTAAATGCATATATTAATTATTTATCGTTTATTATTAATATTTATTATTCATGATTGTTATCAGTTCTGCATTTTTCGAGGATACTATCCTATACAAACTGTTTAAAGTAATATCAAATTCATAAAATGTTGCTAGAACAGGGGTCGACAATCTGCGGCTCACTTGCCTCGTGTGGTTCTTTAGTTAAAAGTTTTTAGGAAAAAAAACACACACACACATTTAAAAATCGTTCTGAATCGATAACGAGGCATCTCTGCGACTGATAAGTACAAGACACCTTTAATGGAGTTTTTTTTTTTTGCACTCTTTGCAATTGTTGAACGTATCTATTGGATTTTGCTCCAATATTACCTTTAAAAGGTTCATTAAAGACGGAAAGACATCCTGCACTCGGTTTATCTCTCAGTTTCAATGCGACCGATCGGGAAGATCTGCCATATTGATTTTAACACACATCACGTTTCTTTTTCTTCTTTAATTAATTTACGTAGTTGCCTTAATTTATGATGTTAAAATTATAAACGGAATATCAGTCCACAAGTCACTTGCGAAACCTCCATGCTGGAAACCGTACAGTTCGGTTTGCAGCGCGTGTGGTTTTAACTACGTTTTAAGATCGTATCTCCAAAACGGAATTTTACAAACCAATTTCTGACTGTCCTATCAGTTATCATATATTCATATATTCATACATTCATATATTCATATGTCCTATCAGTACCTTACCTTCACCGTATACACTGCATATTTCTTCAGCTGCCACTTTAGTGCCATTGCCTTGTTTCAATTCCTTAAGCATTGCATGTCGAATATGCACTTTTTACTATCCATTTCAGTGGTTAAGAAAAACGGTTAAATGTAACATTGACTTACATAAAAACGTTGATAGAAGACTAAACTGAATTCTCATCTATACAGTAATATCAAAAATTCGTTTATTTCGGTGACTTATAGTAAGTAAATAGGAAAAATAGATTCTACGGATGTTACTTATGACTTGACCTATACTAATTTTATATTTGTTTAAAGTAGAATACTTAAAGTAATACTACTGACTTAAATTATAATTTATTTAGAGAAAAGTATTTCATGAAACCTGGTGTTGATATAACATTCAAAAATAAATGTCAATTAAAATTAAAAGTTAGATATTTTGGTTATTACATTAAAAATATTAGAATAATAATATTTATAAAAGAATAAATTGATATTGTAACGTATAATGTTTTACAACGGTTTTAGATATTTACTAGATTTTCAAAATATGTCATTGCTTGGAATTTGGACATATGATAAATATTAATTAATCTTAGTAATCGTCATCAACATGGTTTCTACAAAAACATAAGCGAACGTCATTGATTATGCAAATAACCTATAGAGGTTAAAAAACCTATATTTTAAAAATATAAGTGTTATTACAATAGGTCATACGTAATAGCATTTTAATTAATTTATTGAACTTATCCAGGAAAAAGGAAACAGAAGCAGTAATGCTAAGTAGCTCGAATATGCTAATAAAGATTTAGTTCATAGTATTACTGATTGCACAAGTATATTCGACGAATACGAAATTAAGTTAGAACACTGATATAGCATTTTTAACCTATTTGCATTATATGAAAATATGAAGAAAAAAAAAAATTCACAAATGAAACAAATGAAAATTCACAAATCCACATCAAACAATTGTAACATAGTTGCAAAAACTGAATTAATAAATTCATTGTTGACTAAAAAAAATGGCCATTAGTAAATTAAAAAATCACTCACACCGTATTAATTTACTGTCGTAAGATTTACCGTAAAAAAAAACGTGTATATGTTAATTTAAAACGGATTCGAGTCAGCATAACTTATAATGCCCGCAAACGAAATTAATGTATACAAATTTATGCGGTAACAATACCACTTCCCTCAGACAGAACAATTCTCACTGAATTAATAAATAGGCCGTGACAAGCGGCTTTATATACATATACTTTAGTAAATCGATGAATAATTTCCATACGTATTTAGAAACAACAATAAATTATATAATTAATGATATTCAAAAAAAAAGTCACCATGACGATGTATTTCGATGATTTTCTGTTCTAATTTATTTTTATTCTTAGTATGAATTCTATACATCGAAGGAATTAGAGCTATATATATGCGTAAAGCAAGCAACATTGTAACTAAAAATCGGCAGTCGTTCGAAAAGCACAGAAGAATTAGGTTACTTAATTCATAGTACTTAGTTATCGAGAGAACATTTTTGATATTTAGTTTGTTATAATCTTTGTTAATAACTCATAAACATACTTAGTTAAAAGATTTTTTTTTTATTATAATATCTTATCATATTTTATTATAATCTTTGTGGTAAAAGTTGTTGAGATAAAGAGGTAAGTTTTATATTTTTTTGACATTCCATACCTTTTCCAAATGTGAAGATCACAAATGGCTAAATTATATAATAAAGTATAATTTGTGATTTACTTATTTAAGATCAAGGAATTAAATTTATAAGTTTAATTTATTTTGTGTATAAAATTAATATGGCTTACTGACAAATTATTAGGAGCTTTCATTGAATGAGATATTATATAAGCCAAAGATTATTAAAGTGGCTTCAATTACTGCAAATATTAATTGCTATATTACGCATCATTTTTAAAAGTTTTCAATTCTACATAATAGAAATTTTTTAAGAGAGTAAATATAATAATTACTTC